CAAAATGAAAACAATGATATCAGTAGCTCCAACAAACTGCTGAAGCTGGTCATAGATGACCAGTAATGACTACCAGCTGTTATTTTTTTCTGCCTTACATCAGAAAAGGGGAGGGGATTAAAATACGGAAAGGAAAAAAAAATCCATTAGTTTGAGATGCACTCTAAAATCACTATGAGATAGGATTTCCATGTGCATATCAGCAATTCACATTCATTTACCTAAAGAAGGAAATGATATGCAAGCAGTATTGTAATAGAAGAAAAAGACTGGAATTTTGAATTCACATGCACACACATAAAGGACATTTCAGGTTACTATTTCTGCAAAAACTTTGCATTTTTTCCCTCACTTGTCTGTCTAATAAAGTCTTTCATAATATTTATATGTAATGAAATGTTCTGTTGATGGCAAATTGTAAAGAAATTAATGTGAAGGAAAAATATATAACTTTTTCTCCTTATGTTCACAACTTCACACGTAGAAATACATACATGCATACTCATCGAGAAATAGGAGACTACTGCTAATTGTACAAGAACAACAATGATAAAGAGTGTGATAGCAGGTGCAGATGGTAGAGATTCATACCTGGATGCAAATGGTGCCCATGAGGGTATCATATCTATGCACACATTAATTTGTCTGATGCAGGAGGAAACCTTAGCTGGGCACTAATTTCTCGTTTGATTCCAATCTGCCTGATTTAAATATTTAAAGCAAGTTGAAGACAAAGGCAGGCATCCAGGCCTGAGTTTCTCACCGCTTGTCTCACTCACCTTTTTTTCCAAACAGCACTCTTCTCACACAAGACACGAAGTGAGTACAAGAAATATACTTCTGTATTAAGCACACTGTTCTGTATGTGGTCAGTTCTTTTGCACAGAAGAGAGGGTTTTGTACTTCCTAGATTATAAATCTAATATAAAAAGGATTTTAGCTTTTTCTCCACCATTTTTTTTTTTTTTTTCAGATATACATACACATGGAAATCCAAAATACAAGCCCAGCCAGATACAAATAATGTGACATATAGGCACTGTTGGGACTGTGGCAGCAGTCAGACAAAATCAAGTCATTATAGAATCACAGTATGTCCTGAGTTGGAAGGCACCCACAAGGACCACTGAGTCCAACTCCCAGCTCTACACAGCACCAGCCAAAATCCAAACACTATGTCTGAGAGCAGTGCCAAGGCACTCCCTGAACTCTGGCACTTGTGGCCATGCCCACTGCCCTGGGCAACCTGTGCCATACTCACTGCCCTCTGGTGCAGAATCTTTCCTTCACAGAAAAATAGAAGACCAAGAAAGGAGAGTCAAAAAGGAGGCCAGGTCAGACCAACCCCAGACAACACCAAGAAATTCAAGAAACTGTATCAACAAAACAACCAGAAAAATACATAGTGGTATATCAGTAATGGAAGAATCTTGAAGAAGCAGAGCAAAAAACCTCCTTATGCTGTTATTTCTACTGTCATTGGGGGAAAACTTCACTTTTGCAAGTTCACGGTGAGTCTGTGATTTGTAATACCATTTGCTTCTTTCTCTGAAAGTATTACTGCTTATAAATAAAGTAAAATGGCACCTGTTTTCCGTGCTGTAGCTAGAGCCACCATTTCTTGCTTATATACAGATTTTTAACAATGTGTGCATCAGAGACAGTCTCATTCAAAAACAGCAGGACACTGTGTCAGAGGTGCTTTGTTGAAGCAAGTAAAATCATCAATAACCAAGTTTGTTTGAAAAGTCTCACGAAAGAATGTGTGCTTTTATGACTCCCTGCTGCTGTGAGAGAGTAGCACAAAGTAGCACAGAAACTATGAGGGAGAAAAAAAGAAAAAAAAAAAAGCTGGTTACAATGTTTTTGCAGAATAATAGAAGACAGATGTCACTGCAGATCATATAAAATTATGCATATTGTGCATTTATATTTGGTAGGTATGCTTCGTTTTGTAGGCACTGAAGCGCAGCAGTGGTTTACAATCAAGAGAATCAAGTGAGTGATTCATTTCCTATTATATACTGGCCAACAAAATAAAGGAGACTTAGATTAAGCATGTCTTACAGGGGAAGTTCAGTGAAATGCATTAGTAAGTTCCAGATCAAATGACTATTTAAAATGTATTGTTTTTACAAAAATAAACATTTCTTTTAAAAAATTGAGAAGAACTGGGACATACTAAAGCAACTGAATAGAGAACACAACTGTCTTTGATGCTAAAAGGGAAAAAAAAAGAGAACCAGATGCTAAATAATTAGAGAAGATAAAAATCAATAAACTGAGAAAACTAAAGCACCAGAACACTGGTGGGATGATAAGGAAATAAAGAGAAAAGTGGGTAAGCTTAAAGAATCATTGATAGGCACAAGTGTGAACTATTCCAGAACAGGCAATTGGCAGGAGATGTAGTTGATATCCCACATGGTTCAGTCATGAGCTCTTCACTGACCTCCAGTGCATGAACGATGCATACAGATTATGAACACCAAGCCAAGTAGTGGAGAACAAGTTAAAAATAAGGAAAAAAAAAAAAGACAAAAAAAAAGACAAAAAAAGCTAGATCACAAAGACATCAAAACCAGTAATCCACAAGGTGTGGAATTCCACAAGACAAAATTCTGCAGGAGTTAATGTAATTACGAGAATCAAGGAAGTATTCTATCCTCACCAGAGAAGAAAAGCTAGCAAGGCTAGACAAAAAAAAAATATATATATATATATATATATATATATACACATCTGTAAGAAATACCAGCTTAGAACTTGAGCTTTTCACTGACCTGGCCTTTAGGAAATCTGCTTTATTTCCAAACTCTGCAGGAAAAAAATCATTTATCTTCTTCCATTCAACATTTCCATCCTGATGTTGAAATTTGGAGTTCAAATCTTATTCATAATCTCAAGTTGCATTCCAATTTATGTGGTTTTAAACACAGCTTTTCATCAGCTATTGTTTTTTGCTACTTTCAGGGAATAGAATGAGAACAGAGAACTGTACCACAGTTTTGCATTATCTCCAGTTACCAAAAGTCAAGTTGCTTATAGATGAATCAGATTACCAGATGAATCATTATTACAGGATTGCCCTATAGACACTATGAGTGAGAATAGAAACAACAAGCAGGAGCATTTTCACCTACATTTTCTGCATGGAAGAATTCGATGACACAAGTTTGTTTCATATGTACTTCCATGTCATACTGCTCCTCTTCTGTCATCTGTCACACAGCAGCAACATGTAAAGGGATATTGGTGAGAAGGTTCAATCTTTACTGCCATACCACCAGTGTTTGCCTTTGCCATTATGGGACAGTATAATAAAATCAGAAACATTACTTTTGGAGCAGCCCTCATTTAACTGTGGCTTGTTCACCTACTGGTTAGAACTTATACAGGACTATTTTTGCTATTATACAAATCATATCCTCACACATATATGTATGAATGTATGTATGTATCATATATGTATCATATCTTCACACCCCTAACCATATATATGGCTAGGAATGTAAGGATATGATTTCTACAAAATGTGTGTGTATATATACATACACATTTGTTTTTTGTCAGAATGTGCAAATAGCTCATTCCAACGCCCATTTCCTCTTAGTAGCTCTTTCACAATATTTTCTTAGCCATTTTTCACAATTCCACACAAGAATACGTGGAAGTTTGCAATCTAAAATGTCTGCTTTGCTTAAATTTTCTTTCAGACAAAATCCATGTAAGCACCAAAATCATGCAATGAAAGAAAGAAGCATGGTAAATATATAAATTTCCTCAAGTTGATTATTTTTCAGACGAAATTCCTGCAAGAGACGAAATACACAATTTGGACTGTTCTTTGGATTACATCCATGTGCCTTCCCTGTTACAAAACCAGCATGATAGAAAACATCTAAATTATTTTCTTGTTCTCAAAATACTCAACAGATGAACTTCCGAATTAAATCCAGGTGGGAGGCAGGATCTTTCTCAGCAGCCTGACCAGGAAAACAGGAGCTGGGCAGGTGCCAAACAGCAGCTTCCATCACCTTGGGGAGGGCTCCTGCATCAGCCCCGTGCTCTGGCCCAGTGGCTGAGCACTGCTGCACATGGGTCCCTGCATCTTGGAGGGAAGAAGTTGACCGAGATGGATTCAGGTGCATGCCCAGCTCAAGCCTTTCAAACAGAGGAGGAATCCTGAAAAAGTGCTGTCAATTTCACTAGAGCTACAATATGGTTTCTCAACTAGCATCACTGAAAACCTCTTTTCACTAATTCCAAGCTGTCACTTTTTTCCCCCAGAGGCTGTATTCATGATAAGGTACAGATGACATGAAGGTGCTACACACAGCTCTGAGGTAGTGACCCACCACTGACATTCACAAGAATGACTCCTCTTGGTATGAGCAGACTACCTTCTGTAAGCACTTTCCATGAGCCAAGGAGTTGTTCTTCATGCCTTTGTGTTGTAACCGATAGGAAAGCCTGGAATAGCATCAGTACGTGCCAACCCATGCCTATTTAGAAGTGATAAAAGGAAGTGCAATTAAAAGGCACAGAGGGATCCTTGTGCCTGAGAACAACAACAGACAAAGACCAAAGCACACACTTGAGTATACTTTGGTGCTGCATTAGAGTTTCAAAAAGGTTTTACAAGCCCAATATATGAAAACGGAAATTATCAATCAATCAGTATTTATCTTATACTTGGAGCAGGGAGCTGAGAAGAAAGAAATGGCTTGGTTAGACTATTTTCAAGAAAGCATATCACCTGCGTGTTTTTTGTTTTGTTTTTTTAAAAACAAACCAGGCTGTAATATTGGCTTCTAAGAAAATGGACCCAAAAATCATTTAAGATAAATACTTGTATATTTACATATATTTAAAAATGAATCTTAGAAAATTTCTCATTGCTATTTCTCATTTCCACATCAAGTACAAATTCAAATTGGCTTTCTTCTACCATTTACAATAGAAAGTATAATTGAAAATAAACACACTTGAAAATCTAGTGTTTTTCAACCCTTTTTTTTTTTTAATCTGCCATATGTAACTATCTACCTAGAACAAAATGTTTATTCCTATATTTCTGCCAGATAGATCATCTCGTCTTTTTTTTTTTTTTTTTTTAGGGCTCCTTTTTGCAATTCCTGGTTTCCATCTTGAGACAGGAAAGAGAATCTAGATGCTAAGGTGGTCTACATTTTCACCAAGCCTTTTACTCTGTCACAGAAATGTATCAATTATGGATGTGAGGGGAAATGGCACATACCTCAGAACCCATTCTCAAATCAAAATCGTGTATTTCTCCACCTCAGCCTTTACAAGTTTCAAATGTTTAAAAAATATTTAATCTGTTTTCTGATATTTACAGAAAGAGAGGAATCAGTAACTTAAACAGGTTGCTCCCCTGTCTCCCTTCATGTCAGGAAAGAGAAAGGCTTTTCTTGGTCAGTTTAGAGTATTCTGCTGTCCTGCTACGCATAAGGTCTGAGATTTGCTAGATCGAGGACAGGTTCAAGTTACTGAGTATAATTAATAGTTGAGCCAGTATAGATGGCTGGTGCCTACATGGTTAATAGCTCATAAATGTAGTTTGTGGTTTATAATTCTGATAGATTTTCTCTGGTGAGACATAATTGTCCATCACAGGTTCAGTGTTCAGATGCAAAGGTGTGAATCTGAAGTTTTCAGTCTGCAAAATAAAGAAAAAACACAGACCATTGTACTATGTTGAAGAATTTTTTGGAACCTCTATAGAGGCCAATAAAACAAAAGAAAAGAAAAACAACAACAACAACAAACCAGGATCAGAAGAAATCTGGCAGTCAACATTAGTTTTGCAAAGGATCTGTGAAGGTATTTCTCTAAGCTCCACAGGCAAAGGGGCAGGGCATATAGGTTGAAACCTGAGTTTGTGGAGAGACAAAATCTAACAAGACAACCTTTTGAATCTTTTTCTTAATGAGATTGAAAACAAAGATTGAAATGTCACTATTTTCAACAACGTAGGTCATAATGACCAATGTTAACTTCTCTGACAGAAAAAACAGGCAGGCCACAGGCATTCCAGTGTAGGCACTTAAACTTACTGGTAGTTTTGCCTTTGATCTCAGCAGTTCCCACTGCCATCAGTCAAATCGTGCAGAATACCATATAAGAAGAGTATATCAGGAAATTAATCATTCTGACTTCAGAGCACCATTTGACTAGTTTACAACAAACAAAGCATATAGCTATTAATTTCACTGTGAGCAGAAAACTAAATATGAAATAATTGTTCTTTTAGGGTGCATTAGGTGAAGCAGGAGCCCTGAGGAGAGAGTAGCGTGCTACCATGCAATCAAATATGTATCAGAACACCCTAGAATTAGAGAGGTAGTAAAACTTGCAGTGGCAAATTTAACACTGCTGTTTCTTAGCTCCTGCATGTCTGAACTACAACTTAAGATACAAAAATTTCATTACTGTTTGTGGTGCTAATAGGGCGTAAAGAACTGCATCCTTTTCCCTCATTATAAAACACCTGTCTGTTTCCATCATTTTTAATCACACAGATTTCTGTCATCAAGGGCAATACGTACTCTTAAGCAAACGTTTGGTGCTAAGATTTGAGCGTAAAGCAGGGTTGTGAACATATTAATGCTGGAGAGATCTAAAACTCAACTTGAACATTGCAAATGCAATCTATTGTATCCTTAAGCAGAAAATGCTTTACTCCATTCTCTATCTAGTGTGTAAGCAATTACTCAGATACTCTGTGTAATGAAGTTATGACCACCCAAATAACAGACACCCTTCCAGACACACTGCTCCTCATTCCAGCCAACCAGCACATGTGGAGATATGTTGGATTTTTGTCACAGCAGCCACACATTGTGATGAAATGACATGTTTTGATGAAGAAAAAGACAAACACACACACAAAAACAAAACCCATACACTCCCCCTCCCCCTCCAAAAAAAAAAAAAAAAAGCAGCAGCAGCATCAAAGCAAAAAAAACAAAGCTCACCACAGTCTGTACTGGTGACTGATGCACCTTCTTCTGTAGCCGGGAGGCTGGAAGAAGTATACCAGGAAATCAAAATGGTTTCTTGGGACAAGGTACACAGCTGTTATATCCAGAGTTCTTCTCTAGCTGCCCTCAGCAGCTGAAGGACTTTTTCTTAAATGCTCTCACTGGTTAAGTTCTCACCTTTTATGCTCTGCCCCTGAATGTGTTATTGTTTTATTTTCCCCTTTGCTGAAACATTTGGTTTCCCTGGGAAACATGGTTGAATTGACTCAGTTAGGTGTACTTACTGGACCAAGAACCCATCTGAGTGCATTTTCCCCTCTCCTTGCTTGCCCCAAAGGAGCCCTTCACTACATAACAGTGATGTGCTTCTGTCAGAGTGCTGTAAGCACCTGTCAGTGCCTCCACTACTAACAGCAGCTGCCTTTCTGTTTTCTTCTCCTGCCTTTTCTGCTCTGTCTCCACTCATACTCCCTCTTGCCAACTCATCACTTCATATTATTAGATTCACTAATTACATCTGCAATCTAATATTCACAATGGGGGCAAAATCTGAGCAACACTGAGCACAAGGAAGAACCCTAGGAAAGCATTAAAGGTAGAACCAATGCAATGAAGAGGAATAGGGCATTCTGATGCTCTACAGATTCCCTCTATTTACAGTTTACTCCCTTCTAAGTTGCCTTCTCCCAATGCTTCTGACCAGAATGAGCAGAAACATGGTAGACACATATGGTCCTGTGGTTGACTGTATTCCATATGTCTAACCACATGACTTTGCCCCAGATTGGTTGGGCATGGATAGTCCATTTCTGGGTGGCCCACTGTGCAACCCAAAGAGTGAGCCCCCGGTACAAAACCCAACTATCTGTACAGATATTCAGAATACCATCACCGGGTTCCTTGGTTATAATCATCCACACGGCTCGCAGTTCTGCCCATTGGCTACTCTGACCATCCCCCTCATCAAACCAATGGTCTCGGTGAAAGGATGGTATGCTATTGCTCTCCACTTGCTCAGGTTGCCCTAGCTGGACCCCCCATGTACCAGGCATCTTCAGGGATAGGATATTTTCCCTCCTGAATGGGACTCTTCCCTGGTGGAGCAACCAGCGTTTCTTTTGGTGCATCACTGTGATAGGTCACTGGGCCTAGGATCTTCTGGAGTTCTTTCAAGGGTGATGAAGACAGACTACTCCTTTGGCTGAGGTAGGCAACCCATCGTGCCACTGTTTGTGCTTGGGCCACCCCTGTCTTAGGAAGGTGGGTCAGATCTTTCACCCACCCCTGAATCGGCAGAGTGGTCTTGACTATGACTTCAGCCATTTGAGTTATTGGCTCTACTGCCTGTAGTGCAGCGTAGGCAGCCAATAACTGTTTTTCAATCATACTGTATCTTTCTTCTGCTCCATGCCAGACCTGAGACCAAGAACCAATGGGGGTCCAAACAGAACTCTGGCTTTGCCACAGGCCCCAACCAAAGCCATCTTGAGTAACGTGAACGTCCAACTCAGCTGGGAGGGCAGGATCAAATATATCCAATGCCTGGGTTTGTTTAACTGCAAGTTTTGCTTGTCGGAAAGCATCCTGTTCTGTTTTCCCCAGTCCCATAGCTGCCTCTTTTTTGCGAGTCTGTACAGTGGCCTTAGCAGCTGCGCTAGGTGAGGTATAAAGGAACGCCAATAACCCAGTACTCCTAGAAACTCTTGCAGCTGCTTTGATGTAGGGACTGGGAACACCTGAACCTTATCTATGACAGCACTGGGTACTACTTTGGTCTTCCCTGACCAAACCATCTCCAGGAATTTTACAGACAGGCCCAGACTTTGCACCTTTTGGGGATTTATAGCCCATCCCCTCTGTTGTATATAGGCAATTAATGAATCTGCCGCCTGCTCTACTGCCTCCAGTGAGTCAGATGTCAGCAGGAGATCATCAATATAATGATATAAGTTATCATCATCAGGTTTTTTCCCCAATCAGCCAGGTCATGTGCCACTAGATTGTGACAATACATTGGTGAATGCACATACCTCTGCGGCAGGACCTGAAAGGTCCACTGCCTGCCTCCCCACATAAATGCAAACTGATCTTGGAATTCCTCAGCAATTGGGATACTGAATTGGGATACTAATTTAGGCATCTGCTAAATCTAGGAAACAACAATAGGTTTTTATCTCCCTACTCAATGTGCCCATTAGGGAGGCAATATTGGGTACAGCTGCATGAATAGGCGGTGTGACCTTATTTAATTCTCTGTAATCCACTGTCATTCTCCACGTGCCATCCAACTTCCACACTGGCCATATTGGGGAATTATACAGGCTGTGTGCAGGTCTTACAATGCCCACTTTTTCTAATTCCTGCACCGTTTTCAATATTTCATCTTACTCGCCCAGGAGTCTATACCGTCTTACATTAGTAATCCGGCGCGGTTTCAGCAGGCAAATAGGCCCATGTTTCGCATAGCCTCTTAATATTGCCTGCACCGCCCGGATACTGATACATATCTGTCAAAGTCTGAACTCTCCCACAGTTGTCTGGAGAGCCAGACCCTATAGAATATCTATACCCAGGATGTATTCCTGGACTGGAGCAATAGACTCCTTATACTCCTGGGGTGGGAGATACCCAAGCCCTAATTTCAACCATGTTTGGGTGAAGGAATAGTGTGTCCCCCAGAGCCATCAATCATCACTCTGTGTCCATCAAATTCGGTTGGATATCCATAGATAATTGATGTTTCTGCTCCAGTGTCCACTAATGCCATAACTCTGAATATTTTTTTGGGACCAATAAATTATTAATTCTACATAGGGCCTCTGGTCCTGTCTGGAGGCCCTAGAGGGACTAGCATCCCTCGTCATGCCATGAATTGTGCTATGGCCGATTCTTTTGCTTCCAATGGCTCAGGCATCATGGCCCGAGACACCTGAAGCGGCTTTTTTTTCCTATTAGGAACAACAAAATCTTCTAGGCCGTTGTTGTTATTCTCTGTAACCCTTACCCTTGGTTTCTTAGGGTAATTCTGAAATTTTTGGTTGTCCTTTAGTTGTCTCCAAAGCTGGGGAAGGACATGGTAGGGCTGGTGGTCAATCTTAGCAAATTAGACCCCAGCCTGAATTAAATCATTAAACATTTGTTTTCAGAGACCCTTATGGATCCCAATTGAGGAGCTCAAGTAGCTGGCATTTTGGTTTTAGTCACCAGCAGGACCTCAGCTTCTTCTAATGTCTGAATATTGCACCTTGTCCATAGGCGTTCTGTTTCTCCTAGGTTGGCCACTAGCTGGGCAGCCTGCTGGATTACCATTTCTGAGGCCACCAGGGGATTTAATATCGAGACCAAAGTACCATACAAATGAGAGGGAGCTTGCTGTAGAATCAGGTCTCTCATCCCTGCTGAGAATTTGACCATATCAGGGCCATCAAATGTGTCTTCATTAATTGCTTCCCTTATGCCTAATTCACGGATATAATTTTGAAGGTCCCCCATGGAGGACCACATCCCTGTATGTAGAGGTATATCAGATTTATTGGGCCATACCATATGGCAGGCTGCTATTAACCATTCTATTATAGAATGGTTTTTATTAAGATATTGATTACCTGCATATAACCTCTGCCTGAGAGCAGGATGGACGGTCATGGTGGCCAGTTTGGCTATTTCCGCACCATTCACCAAAACACTTTCTGCTCCAGAATCCCACAGTCTTAATAACCAAGCTGGCACACTTTCTCTAGGCTTCTGCCAAAATCGCTGTACTAAATGCATTAATTCTGTTGCCATGTATGCCTAGGCTGTTACGAGCAAATGAGTCTGGGCAGGGGGTCACTGATCAGGCGGCACCCCTGCCAGTCTGTCCTGTACTTTTTTTGTTTTCTGAGTTATAACAGGACAGACTTCTAGTGGATCTGTCAAAATTGGAGATTTGAGATCTAATTTAGATTTTTTGTTTTCCTGATCAACGCAGTCTGTTGATTCAGGAGTCTGGTCATTGTTTATTGAAATGTTACGAACTTGACCTATCGGAAGATGCAGAATTGGTTTCTTCCCTGTTAATATGCCAAGTTCTTGCTCTAATTTTTCAGTACGGTCTTTCAAAAGTTGGTTTTCATTCTCTAAAGTATTATGCCTCATTTCAGCATGATTTAAAGCATTTAATAGCTGCTATGCCACTATGGAGGCAGCTAATTGTCTTTCTTTCATGATCAATATATCTTTGTTAAGTCCCTGATAATTTGCCATGCAATAGGGGGAGATACTTCCCATAACACAGAGGGGACCCCATTTTTTAATGACAACCACTAGTTCATAATAGGGAGATCCCACAAACCCTGGAATCACTTTATCTAAGGGGGTAGCATTCTCTCCCCGACCCATTTATAGAAATTCTAAAGAACGGACATGATGTTATGTTTGGCCTGCCTGGATCACCAAGTGTATAATCAATGAATATAAAGATGCTATAATTATGAAATAAACAAGAGAGTTTGGCAAACCAGGTTATAATAACAAAAAGAGAATAGATAGGACACTTACCCATATCCTAGGCTCACTTATGAAACTCCAGCAGAGTGGATCTCCAGAAGAGATCCTTCCCTACTGGTAGTCAGCTCTTAAATGGGTCTAGGAGAGGTGGAACCAGGCTCCACCCCTTCCAGCAGCACAGGTGAATTGTCTTCACCTGTGCCCGCTTGGCTGACTCCTTGCTCGCCTCAGGTGATCAATCAGAGGTTCAGGCTGTGGTTCAGCAGTTCCCATACAGCTTCATACTCTCCTCTCCCAAAAACATCCTTGCTTTCAGTTTCTTTCTTTCAATCCTCTCGTTTTCTCTCCCTCCAATTCACTAAGGCTTTTACTCCATCTGTACTTCATCACAGCCATCTCAAGAGTCGGAAGGCATCACACGAGCTCTCATTACCAACTTATTCAGCATGAGCCAACATAATGCCAATGAAATCTACACAGACTGAGAAACTATCAGTGTACCAGAGAGAAATATACATTTCACCTATTCTTACACTTGCTGAAGGGAAAAATTAGAATTGCCAGGATAGAGGAAGGATTGCTTATGATCGACCATTAGGACTAATGCTTAAACTAGTCTTTAAGCTCCTCAGTCTATGTGTAGAATTTTATGTTGGTAAATTCAGAATGATCAAAATAATTCAAAAAATTCAAAACCCACCCTACTCATAACAAGTATTCTTCTCTCCCTGAATAACTCTTTGCCTCATATGTAATACATTAATAGTATAATAACAGTGACTCTTACAAAACTCCAGGCTTGTTTTAAAATTCCATCCCTCCATTTATTATTTCCAAAGGGTCAGTACACTATATATCAACATTTTCCTCAATTCCTGCGCCCCAACCCACTCTCAGCCATAAGATACATATCTTAGTACCTGCACCTAGCCTGCGATGGAATGTAAAACATTTCAAGCTCATCAAATGACTTACCCCTGCACCTTAAAATCAAGCATGAAGTCACTCCAGCAACACAGACAACAGCAAGAATTGCAGGCAGTCAAATCTGGAGATATTGGAGACTGGAAGAATCATCTAGGGTGAGAAAAGGAAACCAGTCACAGAGCTAGATGTCAGTATCCACTGACTATATGATGATGGTATCTAACTTAATGAGAAAAGAAAACTAATGCTCTATCCCCATAGCTCCAATGAGAGACAGATCAGATGTCTAGGTGCCAACCTGCATAAGGAACTGTTTCACTCATCCAGTGTGTACAAACATACTTCCATTTTCAACACATATATCTGCATGGTTTCCCTTTGTACAAATGATACTAAAAGTGCATCAGCAGAACTGACGAGACATCCCTCCAGAATTTTGTTATTAATGACTGGTCTGTGTTAATTTCCATCCTTCATGCCCCTGCTGAGATATTTTGGTAATACAAGCACTGTTTACATTTTCTTACAAATTTTGATGGCAGAAACATATCAAGTCCAGCGTAGCCAGCTTAACCTTTACTACCTTTGTCTTTGGGAAAGTTTGCTCAAGAGTAACACACAGACACTCTCCACTTTCTCCAGACCATCAGCACTGTGGGGAAGTGGAAAAAATCAGCTCAAGAGGTCCAAAGTTTCACATCAAAAACAAATCTCTACTGCAGAGAGAACTTCTCTGTCACTGCTAATTAAACAAGGATCACTGAAAGAGAATAAGGAGCTCTTGTATCTTAAAATGGAGATCCAAGTAAGCTCCCACTGGAAACTTCCTCATACCATGCTGCGAAACATTTGGTTTCAGTTGACTAACTCTGAATTACTAATTTCTCTATCAACATGCACAAGAACTTTGGCATTTCACCACTAAACAATCTGCCAAGTCCTGGCATTCAGTGGAAACAGCTGCAAAGAAAACCACAGTCACAAGTGTATGATGAAGAACAATTACAAAACAATGTTCTTTACCTGACAGATCCAGGGAGAGAGTCTGGTTCACAGCTGGGTGGGTAACCAGGCAGGTGACATTAGGATGTGTGCTGTTGACCCAGCTTATGTAGCTGAAGCTGGTCACTGTTCCGTTGAAGTGGTGGACATATTTCTCAACACTGTGATTACTTGCAGGGATCCAGGAGATTTTGGCAGCTGGTTTTCCAGCAGTAGCTTGGCAAACAGCCACTCCGTTCTTGTCAGAGGTCAGAGACAATGTAGGAGGGACTGCAGAAGAAGTAAATAGACTACGGTCATCATTCCAGAGTAAGGTCTCTAACTGAGAAACAAAAACAGTACTATTTTTTAGTTTTTGTGTGGCCAACTTAAGATATTTTGAAATAATTCAGAATATTATCACCAACCATCTTTAGGGGAAAAACACATTAAAGTCCAAGGTAAATATCTCTAAAAATTGGTAGCGGCACTTAGAATTGAGGTTTCCTCACATTTTCCAAAGGATGACTATAACTGTAACAGAAGATGGGATGTTGGATAGGGCTGGATTAAATGAAGATTTAAAAGTATAGCAGTGCATGTACTGAACAAAACACCATAGCTTGCTGAAGCTACAAGCTAAGAAATTCATAATATGGATAGAAAGGAGAGAATGGAGAAATACTAGTCTGCCTAAAGCCTAACAGTTTATGTTCTGCATTTTACAGAACAGATTCTGCAAGGAAGAAGAAAAAAACAATATCAAAGGACAAATATTAACAGTAGCAATTACTGATTTGCAGAATAACATTGCCATAACCTTCCGAGTATTACTAAAAATCAACTAAGATGATCAGAACAAAAAAATCCTCTCATAAGTAAAATGTTTCTTGCGATTTAAGGAAAGTTAGAGATAATCTACACATGTCAGAAAGATTGACTGATGCATTGCTTTTGTTTCCTAATACTTTCTCTTCCTGCCTTGCTTGAAAATAGCCTAAAATCATTTTTATTTTAGTGATGCAGTACTACAACTTTCAATGCTTCTGGAAGAGTTAAATATTTCCAGATAATGTCCTGAAACTCTTGCTTCCTTCCTATTTGGTCCTTATCCAAACAAAGTACACAATGTGTGCACCGTGAAATTTGGTTCAGCTTTAAGTAGCAATATTTATTTAATATCATCTATTTGCACCAACTTAACCAACAGTGTGCACTCCTGTTCATGTGAACATTCACACAGCATTCAAATTCCATGTTACAGCCAAAGACATCAGAATCTATCCAGACTGGTTCATCTGGGAACATCTGAAAACAGTCTCTGATCGTGAGGCAGAAACAAACAAACAAACAAAAACAAATAACAACAACTGATTATTTCTCATTAAAACAGCCCTATGTCTTCATATGGCCTGTTGCCCTCTCCAGTCACACTATATCAAGTTTCATCTTTATCTTCAATCTCAGCATGCATCAAAAATGAATTTGGTCCTTTAACAACTCAAATCTGTTTTATGTCCACACAACAATGAAAAAGTACAGGTGAATCTTACCTATGACATTCAGAGAAAAGAAAAAAAGAAAATTCCCCTCACTGCTGACAATTTCACAGGTGTAATTTCCCTCGTCATTCAAGTCCACAGGGTAAATACGAAGAGCTAGGTCATGGTCAGGTGAGTATTTCCACATCACCCTCTCACTGCAGTTTAGCATTCTTGACTCATTGAGATCCCTTCTGTAAGCCAAAAAGCAGGAAGTGCTGGATTTCATCTTCCATGTCACCATTAGCAAAGACAGCTTGGAGATTGATGAGCAATTCAACACAGCCTCATGACCACCCTTCTATAAGCTACATGGGAAAAAAAGAAATAGAGAAAGAAAAAAATTAAATATTAAATATGATCCTTCAGCTTTCATCAATATCCAGCTCTTGGCTTCACCATACTTAAAAATTTCTACTTTCTTACTGAACTGGCAACCTTGGGGATGCGTTGCTTTCACAGAAACTTATAAGTAGTATTCAGTTTCCAGGTCCTGCTTCTTTCTGTCACTGTCTTTGAGATCTTGAAATGCAGTGGAGATGGTATCTTTCCACTGAATGCAATGTGCATTGGTGAGCTACAAGTTCTCCTCTGTTTTTTTTGGCAGAAGATTCCTACCACTTCGATATGGACATTGAAAAACTGATGGGGAGGCCAAGATTCACCCTTAAGAGAATGGAAACTACCTTTTCTAAGGAAAAGAAAGACAGACAGAAAGACAGAAAAGAATCATAGAATGGCTTGGGTGGGAAGGGACCTCAAGGACCATCAAGCTCCAATCCCCCTGCCGCATGCGGAGCTGCCAACCTCCACATTTAATACCAGATCAAGCAGCCCAGGGCCCCATCCAACCTGGCCTTGAACACCTCCAGGGACAGGGCATCCACAACCTCTCTGGGCAGCCTGTTCCAGCACTTCACCACTCGCTCTGTAAAGAGCTTCCCCCTGACATCCAACCTAAATCTTCCCTCCCTCAACTTAAAACCAATTCCCCTTGTCCTGCCATTATCTACCCTTGTAAAGGATTGACTCCCCTCCTGTTTGTAGGCTCCCTTTAGGTACTGATAGGTTGCAATGAGGTCACCCCACAGTCTCCAGGCTGAACAAGCCCAGCTTCCTCAGCCTGTCTTCATAGGGGAGGTGCTCCAGCCCTCTAATTTTCTTTGTGGCTCTCCACTGGACCCTCTCCAACAGCTCCATGTCTTTCTTTATTGAAGTCCCCAGACCTGGCTGGCTGCAGTACTCTGAATGAGGCCTCACAAGAGCAGAATAGAGAGGAACAATCACCTCCCTGTCCCTGCTGGCCACCCCTCTTCTGATGGAGCCCAGGATACTATTTGCCTTCTGAGCTGCAAGAGCACACTGCTGGCCCATTTTAAGTTTTTCATCCACCAGGACCCCCAGGTCCATCTCTGTGATAAGGTGCACCAATTACAGTGTAAGAAAAACCTGGGATAGCAGTGAAACAGGAGTTGGACTCAATAATCCTTATAGGTCCCTTCCAACTCAGGATACTCTATGAACATATACCAATAAGAAGGGGAAGACTCACGATCATCTGGCATAGTAGTTGATGGAGCATATGCTATATGGGTATATATCTGTCTTTTTCTGCCAGAAACCATAGCTCTGCTGGTGTTTTCTCATCTGAACAAGAAATAGATCTTCAGATTATTTGTGTTGGATCGCTATCAGAAATAATATTCTACGCCACTCTGCAAAGCACAGGATTATTTTGTCAGCTGACGTGATATCATTCTTCATACTGGTGAACTGTAAAATTTCAGTGTACCAGTGAGTCAGCAATACAGAGTATCAAACAGTGCTGAGTGCAGCTTGTGTACTCACTTACCTGACCCTCCAAACAGGTGGATCATCAAGAAAAGGACTGCAGCCTGAACTGCCCGTGTCTGAGTCATCTTCAGCAAAAGGATTCAGCACTGCAGTAAAAGAAGGAAATGGTGGGTAGTCACAAGCTGTGGTGCAAGTCCCTTCAAAGAAAACAGGAAGAAAAGCCTTTTCTTTTCTTTGAAAACAGAAGTTGTAACAAGGACCCATGTCAAGTATCATTCTTACAGTAGAAGGAAGAAAGCAAAAAAACGCTTTGGAAATAAAAAGCATTTCTGTTTACAAACCAGTTTTAAAAACTCAAGATCTCATTTTCCAGTCATCTCCAGTCACTCACTACTCATGACCAGCTAGCACACAGATAGCTACAGACCTCTTATTGCTGCTTCACAGATTTACCTGCAGAAGATGAAAAAAAGACTTTGAAAAAAAGACTTTGCAAGAGTAAAGATGATTGCATCAAGCTCTTTTTGAAAAAAATCAAGGTACAGCATTTATGGGAAAACTCAGAACCTAGACTTGGCTATTAGAAGGAAGTAACCCAGAGAAATGATTTAAATCTTTGCCCTGCTTTTAATTTCTCAAAGGGTAACTCCATTTCTGCAGTAGAAGTGAAAGGTCAACTGTCTTTTTGTGAGAGATCACAAACATGAGCTTGTTTCCTGCTATTAGAGACACAGAGAACTGAGGAAGCATTTCAATAATTAACATGATTCCATAATTATGTATCTACATGTTACAAACTACTAGCTCCTTTTTGGCAAAAGGGCTGTTGCTTGAGCACAGGCCTGGCTGGAAACATTGCTGGTACTTTCCTACAGTCAGTTAATCATACATAAATAAACCCAAATTTTTCTGGCATACTTTACTATGTTCTACTGAAAAATATGGCTATGTATTCAAAATACCATCCTTTTCTACTCAGATCTCAAGACCTACAGCACCTTACTACAGCTCCCACTAGCTCGGTCACAGCAAAGGGTTCCCAGCCACTGCACTGCTGTAACCCCATCACTGAGTGACAAGGCAGAGGTCTCAGTGTGTGCCTGTTTTTATGACACCGCGGTAGCCATACCCTGGCTGGGGTTTTGTGAGGTTACAGTCAAAATCTGCAGCCACAGTTTTGTCCAAGGCTCCTTCCCACCTTCCCATGAAGTCACCCAATTTTCCAGCACTCACCTCTGCATTTCCTCAAGCTCTTCCCGGTCTTTTCACTGTTCTCTCCTTCATACCACCATCTGCATCGCTTTAATCTCCCATACACAGCTAGAGATGACTGAAAAATGGTGTTGCCATCCTATGGGAAGTACTGATATGTTGTTCTCATTCCTAAGTCAAACACCAATACACACCAAGCTAGCAAGTATCTTTCTGACACAGTTGATTTAGAGACGTCATACGGGTTGCAACAGGACCTTCCTCTGTGGTTATTTATGGTCATGCTCTGTTCACACTCATTTTGCCCATATTAATACAAGGATGTTTCATTGAAGGTACTAAGAGGTATGTAAAAATATATTAAGAAAAAAATAATAAAAATAGAATAAAAAGAAGCAATAGTGCTACATTTGTGATCTGAGTGCAAGAGGCAACAATATTCAGTGCAACTTATACACGATGCAAGATGTATGTACATTCTCACAACAGATTGATAGGTTTTCTGCACAATTCTAACAAAACACCAATGTATCTGGATGAAAAGCTTTTATTGCAGCCTGAAAATGCTGATGCAAGCACATTGATCAGTATACTACAACTAACATGCAAGTAATGGGTAATGTAAGTCTTATATTCCCAAACTCTCAAATTTCATTTTTGTTCACTTTAAATCTTTGCCACATATGACATAATTTTTGTGCTTTGTGTTATTTAGTATCAATGAAAAAGTTGCTTTTTTCTGTAATTGAAATAAATTATGCATGCAAAAGTTGCGTTCAGTGAAAAAGCTTGTTTTTTTCTTAAAAACAACAGATTATTTTTGGCCAAAAATATGTGCTGAATTAGACCCAATTTGGAAATTATTTTTCTGCCTCTTTAAAAAAAAAAAAAAAAAAAAGTCCTCCACAATGTTTATCAGCAAATTCAATATTCACCGATGTTGATGGATCCATAAATATTCATATACAGCATATTGTGACACTGGAACTTGTCCCAGAGAACTATCATTTTTTAAAATGCATACAAGTCATGTATACACGGAGCTTATTTGCTCAAAAGAACAGACATTAATGATTAAAAATGGGGCCTTACAGAAAGAATAGAGAATATCACTCTGCTTAAATATTCATGTATGAAACACTGAATATAGATTGCAATTTTTAAGGTTCACAGTCCTTAACTGCTTACGCCTCTGAGCAAGAAGTAAATCTCAAAGTAGAACCCCAGAAGGAGAAACCCAGCACAGCTGAATCCAATTCATTTAAAAGCATCAAATGAATGTTTGTAGATTGTCTTGTGTCATTTCCTTTGATGGAATTAAAATGCCCCAACAACTGCATTAAAATAAATTAAAGTTTTAACTCAGCCTCGATGGTGGTGTCTGGCATGAGACCCCACAATGCATGCATCACTCTCCCATTACCCTCCACACTGCAGCTGGGAATGGCACTGCTCACGCTTGGTTGCCTCTCATGAAAGCTGAGGGGAAGGAAGTTGCTCAGTGTCAGCCTGGAGAAGGGACCTCCAGCTCCAGAAGCACTGGAGGTAAAAGGCAGCCATGCCAGCACATTCTGGTCCTTGGATAATCTTAGTCCTGGGGAGGAGAAACGAGATATTAGCACAGAGGTTTGGCCCAGTTTGGATGCTGGTCCCAGCTCCCACGCACCAGGGAAAAGCACTGGAACACCTGTAGCTCCCTTCTGGTTGTCCTCACGAGAACAGAGAATTTAGAAGTGGCTCAGCTCAGGACAATTTGTCCCAGATAGTCCCTGTTTTCTTTGCACTGTTCACAAATTTCTTTCTGTTGATGCTCCCAAGATTATAGCATGCAGCTGATTTGTCTCGCAGACAGACAAGAGCTCCTTGCCCTCCTGCTACAGCTCAGTGAAAAGAAACCATCTGGTGGTACATTCCCCCAGAAGAGGATGTGACACAGTTAGAGCTAGGGAAATACCACATTCAGACACGAGGAACAAAACACAGCCTCTGGTTGCATTATACTGTGTCTCAAATACAAGATGCAAGCCCTGAGCTATGTAAAATGACAGTTAAAGTGGATTAATAAAAGCCAAGTCCAACATAACAAAAACATATTTAACACAAAGCGAAGAAAGAAAAGGTGCTGCTCATAAAGAATCGATGCGAGCAATGCATCAGTCATCAACACAAACCTTTGTAAATGTCACATGGCCATTGCCATGATTAACAGGAAAATATGACGCTGCTTTGCAGTGGAATCACAGTTTAAAGTGTAGCAAAGATCTTCAGAAACCCATTCCTTCCTCTGGGCAAGGGAGGGGAGGAAAGGATGGTACAAAGAGGAATCAGTTGCACGTAGCTACGAGCTGCACCCACAATGAGTCAAAAGGCAGAAGCCAGCCAACGCTGTCTGACGTGGGAGGTACACGGACAGCCCCAGGTCAGCCTCCACCCTTAGCTGCCCTATGGGGCCTCAGTAACTCTTAAGATGGGATACCTCCTGATAACACGCTGCAATAAAAAAAAAGAGCAGTTCAAATGGCTGTCTCAGGGTCTCCCTTTTTTCCTACAATTTTTCACAGCAGCCCTCAGACGTTGGAGCTGTAGCAGTTACCTGGGGAGAGACTGGTGTCTGTCTGCGTGCATTTTCTGCGTATCTTAGCCACAGGCTATTTTCATGCAGCCTATTTTCTGCGTAGGAAGTTTTGCAGAAAGTCTGAGAGCGGTCTGCAGCCCCCACTCAGGAGACAGACTCTGTTCAGCTGGTGTCTCCAGCTGCTCCCAGGCTACAACACATCCTTCAAGTCCCTCAGATGAAAATGAAGTCATAAAATACAGGAAGCCTTTGGATGCTCTGGAAATAGAGCATATATAGAATTATAGAATTGTCTGAGTTGGATGGGACCTCTAAAAGTCATCTAGTCCAACTCCCCTGCAATAACACCTACAGCTACATCAAGTGCCCATCCAGGCTGATCTTGGGACGAGGCATCCACCACCTCTCTGGGCAGCCTGTTACATCGCCCTTAATGTAAAAATCTTCTTCCTTATATCCGGTCTAAATCTCCTCTCCTTTATTTTGAAACCATTTAATCTTGTTTTATCACCACAGACCCTGCTAGAGAGTCTGACCCCTTCCTTCCTACAAACCCATTTAGATACTGAAAGGCCACTCTCAGGTCTCCCCAGAACCTATTCTTCTCCAAGCTGAACAGCCCCAGCTCTCTCTCTGTCCTTACATGGGAGGTGTTCCTTGGATCCTTTTTGTGGCCCTCCTCTGGACACACTCCAACAGGTCTATGTCGCTCCTGTGCTGAGGACTCCACATCTGGATGCACCGCTCCAGGTGAGGTCTCACCTGAGCAGAGTAGAGCAGCAGGTCCACCTCCACTGACCTGCTGGCCACACTTCTTTTGATGCAGCCCAGGATACGGTTGGCTTTCTGGGCTGCAAGGACCATTACTGGCTCACATCCAGCTTCCCATCCACCAGCATCCCCAGGTTCTTTTCAGTAGGGCTGGGCTCAATCCTTTCATCCCTCAGCTTCTGCTGATAGTGGGGGGGTATGTGAAAAGGAGTGGAAAGGGCTCTTCATTCTCAGAAACTGAGATGCATTTAGGGGTTGGGGAGGTTGCATGCTTGCTCTGTCCTTAGCTATCCTCCATAACTACCTGCTGCTGGCTACTGCAAGTAGCACTGAGTAGATGGACCTCTGGTTTGACTTCATAGCCTTTTGGTTTTTTTTAATCTCTGAAGGATTTCCTAACACTGAAAATGCACCCATGAAGCCCTCTCCTAGCACAGCAAAAGTTTGTTAATACTGATAGCAAATGGAGGAACTTCAGCTTCTGCTCAAACTGCCCGTTTGTCTCATACTTGCTGGCAGGTGAAAGTAATAGGTAGTTAGCAGCTACAAAATTCAGCCCATCCAGTTCATGAGCCAGCCTCATTCAGATCCAAATGAGCAAAACTGTATAAACTTTCTCTATAAACTGGGAAATAAAGGGTAGATGGCTTCCTGAAAGGAAAAGAACTGCCTAATAGAAGGAGCTGTCAAAAGAGTTATGAAGTGTTTGTACTGAAATATAAAATTACTGTTTTCTGGTAACTTCTATCTGAAGGTAAATAGGCTTAAAAATTCCTCCTCAGCAGGGTAGATGTTTCCTGTGTCTGTGTGTACAATTTGTCAAAATATTAATGATTAGAATAACGCTAATACTAACATTACCACAATGTGTTTTTTTCCCTAACAGGGTGAAAAACAAGCAAAACAGCAGATGAGTGTATTGCCTGCTTGTTTGCTTTCTTATTTGTTTTTAGTAGTTGTAATTCAACAAAACAGGTGTGAATTGCCTCACCTTTTAGAAATATTTACCTTCTTAACACCGGCCAATCTAGAAAATAGCCTAGTCCTGTGAAGTTATTACCTGAGCTAAATTGTACACCTCACATCCATAGCTGCCTTGCAGCCAACCTGTTCAGAAAGCACAATAACCCCATGATGGGAGTAGGACCAAAGGATGAATAGCAGTAAGAATAGCCTCTAGTAAGCCTGTTCTCTTCCTTGCAGGAAAACAGATGTTTGCCTTGAAGAGGAAAATATAGAAACAGCCCGTGAATGTAACATCTTGATTTTCCAAGGTACAAACCACCTGTGGTTCCACTGATGTCAGCAAACATACAGTGGGACAAACACTGCTCACAATAAAACTTTTAAAACCCGAAACTTCCAAGTGAAAATGTCCAGAGGCAATTACATTGCCATTTCCAGGGACTATGAAAAATCACTTATATTTTAACTACAGCTAATCTACACTCGCTCACCAACACAGTCAAGTCCAGCAATTTCTGTTCTTGGCCCTATCAAATCCCCCTTACCAATTTTAGGTCATTAACTCATTGTTCAGAGGCTTCTCATTTAATCCTAATGCTTCGGCAACAAAATTTATCTTTAGAAAGGTGCCCGTTACTTTGGCTACTTCAATTTCTGCCTCTTGTGGACTTACTGCACCACTTTGCACTTTTCCCATGAAGAACCAAGGAACCAACAACCCACAAATACAGCTACCACCTTCAGAACTGTGGGATAATCCAAGAAACAGACTCCTAAAAATTCAATAGTGAACGAAAAATAGATGATTCATAGGTGGACACAGCTCCCCTTCAAATAAGGGTAGGCATATATCTCAGATTCCTTGGATGAAAGTTTCTCTCCCATCCCAGCCTCATGAATTGGCCTTCCCCTACACAGCCAAATGTGACCCAGTGTACTATATATCCTGAGAGCTTCTTGCAAAGCTGCAAACTTCAAATAATCCCCACTTTAAAAAGAATACAAATAGCAGCAGAAACTGACTTGTAGCAGAAGCAAAATCCCAGGCAAACCTTCCTCACCTATTAGTAGATCTTCGGTCTAGCTTCACTGATCATGGTTCAGGCAGTTCTGAGCATGGGTAGAGCCACAGGATTATCAAGACACTCTGCTTCATTTGTTCGCTCCTCCTTCACTTCATCTTGGAAAGGATGATATCCTTCAAAGCTACAGCTTTGCTCTCCCTGGAGAGCTGTGAACATCCTGCAAGAACTGCTCCAAACTCAGCTGTGAGTGCACTGCTCCACAAGGAGCTGCATAGTGAGTCCTTAGACTCATCACTCAGCAGACTTTTACACACCTTAATTTACAGGAAGGGAAAACTTTGCTGCCTCTCCTGTGTTTGTAGGGCACTCAGGCCAGCAATGCTAAACATGAAGTTCATACTATTATCACATAGCAAAGGAGAAGGTTAAAAATATTTATTTCAGTAGATTCTTTTTTTTTTTTTTCCTGTGGTTTGTTACTGGAGTGGAACAAATAAATGGTAAAACAAAGCATACGAAGTCATCACACCAGTGTCACAGCAACGTGACTGCCTACAATCTTCTGGTGCCACCACATAAGCCAAAGAGTTTCTGCTTTTGTTTGTTTCGTTCTTCACTATGCAGGCTTCTCTGCTGTCATAAATTCCCCCTCTCATGAACTAGCCTAGCACTCATAGCTCTGTGTCACTTAGGGCTTCAGAAGAATTCACTCTGGTGGCTTCCAGTCCAACTTCAGATCCCAATTCTTGTCCATGCCTTTAGCAGTACTTCTGGCAGCATTATGCTCAGCATACAGATGGGTGGTGCATCCTACAGCACATCCTCATTCAGGTTTGTGTTGCTGGAACTTCCCAACCCTTTCACAGCCCAGTGATTTGCAAGTGGAAAATGTCACATGAAGTTAGGTTAGCCCCCTGTGTTGATGTTAAAATGTTGATGTTATCGGTATCCGTGCTGTGGTTGTGCCTATGCATGTGCTGCTATAAAAAAAAAAGACGACAATGTATAGAGAAATACAGACACACAAGTTACTAGAGCTATTGTATTCAAGTGGCAAAGTATTTAGGGATGCTTGGCATCACAGAGGTGCTGGGAGGACAGGGGTTAGCACCAAAATGAAGGTAGGAATGCAAAATGGTGCTGGCAGTGCTTCCCCATCTTTTTTCATCACCACTTTTCCTTCTCATCCCCTGCTTGGACAGCCAATAGATGTGTACCTCGCAGCCCTCCTACTCAGCAGCAAAAGGTCCTTGGGCTATTTGCTGAGTCTCCATCATCAGAAATCTGGGTTGCACGTTGTTTCTGCACGGTTTATTGTCAGAGCGAGTTTATGACTCCAGTTATGATAAATACCCTCTAGCTAAAGGAATTTCAAAATGCATCCATGGGGATTTACCGCATGTGCCTTTGAACTGCTTAGACTTCCAGCAAGCCGCTGTCAGAGGATGATTTTCCTGAACCTATGAAGTAAAACAAAGTAGGAAAGCCAATTCAAAGTGCAGATTCAATACTTCAGAATTTAGCACTGCTGCTCAACCAGACCTATA